CGCGTCTCCAAACGTCACCGCACTCATCGAATATTTTGAGAGGATTGTCAATCTAGTTGCAACGCAAATTCTTATTGAAGAGACGATTGTTGACCGAGCAGACATACTAGCCAAGATTATTACGGTAAGTGTTCTCTTACGGTTGGGGATATTGTGTTTCTGACAAGGTCCAAGCATAACTATTCCGTCTGTTAACATTTCATTTAGTTTGTTCAAAAATTGTTGCTTAATTGTTTACAAAATATTAGATTTTAGAAATATTTAACCATGATTTTAAAATTATAAAATATTAGCTATCAATTGCTTAATAGTTTATACTAACCATCATAAAAATGTCTACTTGAGCGGGATTCGATCACATGACCTTCAGTATGCACAGCTGATTCGCTGCGAACATATGAAGCGGTACATAAGTAGTATTTTGGAGTAACTGGTTTCGATTTGGTTTACTTACTTCAAGTGAGAAAGAAATATAGAATGTGATAAGTTTATTGAACGTTCATTATTTCTATTTTCTATGAATGCAGGTAGCAGATATTTGCAAAGACATGAATAATTTCAATGGCCTACGTGCTCTGCTGGGTGGATTGCAAGTCACACCGATCTATCGACTACATGCAACATGGGACTATTTGAAAAAGATGTACCGAAAGGAGTACAAGTGAGTATCAATCCAAACAGTGTATTGAATCGGCCGGGTACTTTCATTGGAAAAAAAATACAGTTTCCCGCATCAGTAGAGACGTTTATATTCCTATCAGGGGTAATTCTTTTCCTCTGGGTTCTCCACACTTGCCAGGGGAAGGGAACTCGTCTCGTCTCTCTATCTCGTCCCCTTGAGGTACGGGATCGGGGAAGTCACTTATACTTTACAGTCAAATAAGACACACACAACGAAATACGTTTCAACTCTCGTCTTAGTCGATCTTTTGGAGCACTCTATAAGACACAGCGCCCTGGGGAAAAGTCCCCAAGACTCTCACAAGGCTGAACCAAGACTCGCCCAAGACTGGACTGCCTCAAGGCTCGCCCCTGGACTGGACTCTCGACTGCGTCTGTCGTGGAGTATTCGCCAAGACCCACTCAAACTCTCTTTATTCATTTTCAAAACTCTAACCAATTACAAAACAGTAAAAGACTCTAGGGCGTAACCTTCAATCATAAAGCCAATCACACTAAGTACTGAATACGTCATATCTTTTGATTAATCGTTCACTACATTAATAACTATGGATATAAACTGTCAGAATGAGTAGTCTAAATAGCGGTGGTTATCTGGTAATTAGTTCCAAATCACTGAGCCAAGTTCCGTCCAAAACTTCAAATAGGCCTAAACGATGACAGACATAACACAGCAATTCAGCTAATAATCAGCTAATTAAGTCGACCAACAGATACGCAAAAACAAATTCATGACATTCCGACGAGCTCCTCATCTCGTCTGACCATTATATTTAATCACGACATTCTCATTTATGGGTGTGTCGCACTTCACTCTAGCGACAAAGTGTCTATGTGGCGTGATCTGAGTGAAAGAAAAGACTATCACAGACTGAGTCGATTTTTCGATCTGAAATGTGTTTTGTATTCTGAATGAGGGACTAATATGAAACGCTGGTGATTTATAGGAAAGGCTTTTTACGAAACAAATACTCCGGATTTGAATTTATTTTATAGAAAAGAAAACAGTTTTAGATTATACATTTAGGGTACTTTCCCACCTGAATACGAATGTGACTAATTTCAAATTAAATTAAAAAAACAAACAAACATTTACTTGAAAGTGTCCATCATGACTCAAATATTAGAATAGTGGCGGTTCACATTTTCGCCAATCAGGAATCAGAACACATGGAAAACCTGTTTGTTTTTATATTGAATAAAAGCTCTTTCTTTTCGTTTGAAGGATGTTTCTGGACATGTCACACCTAATGAGTTGTGAGCGAGGTTTTACCGTTTATTACGAAGCTTTGAACGAGGCTATGAAGCAGCCGCCATGTCTGCCGTTTTTTGGATTGTTTCTACAAGAGGTCATTGCCCAGCATTCTACTAAGCTGATTGTCCGCAACAAAAGGAAACTTAAGCTTGACATCGAGAATGATGATGACAACATAGGTATTATTGACAGCCGTATCGAAGAGAAAAGAGGTTGGGTTGGTAATACGAGTGAGTTAACGACGTTGAACAAAGCAGAAGAAGAAAACAATAACACTGATTTTTTCGGACAATTTGTGAGGGCAATGGCCACAACAATCGATAGAAGTTCCTGGGTTGCCAAGCGATTGGCGCTAAACTCATTTCTTCCCGTCGAAAAACACGAAAATGAAGCCCTAGAAGAGGAGACTGGCGTTCAAGGTAGTAATGTCTTAAACAAAAAAAGGCGAGATGAAATTCGCCGAGCCATTTTAGATCACGCTCGTAAGCGAATAACGGAACGCGACGAGGAGAAACGCGCATCTTGTGTCGGTGAATGCGACGGAGATGATGACGGTGATAACAAGCATCCCGAACTCTTTCATACAATGAAGGCCTTTTTTCGCAGTAATACTTCAATGGAAGAGAAGAAAACGCCCGAACACCCCCAAACGACCGCCACGGGCAAACAACCGCACGAGTTGCTGTTTGAGTACCAGATTAGCGCCGTCAAGTATCAATTTACGAGCAACAAAGACGTTAGAGACTTTCTTCTGCGAAAAAAATATAATTCGGACCATGACAACTATTGCATATCATGTGATAGAGAACCCAACTTTGTGAATACACTGTAAATGTGGTCCATACGTCGTGTTGCCAGACTCTTCCTGAAAATGAAAACACATCATATGAGATACTGATAGTTATAATAAACCGCTGATATACTATTAAACTTTATGTGTACGTGTAGTGGCATTATTGAATATTTATTTGTAGTCCTAGTATTTAACCACACACTAGTAATGCTTAGAAGTAAAGATTAATCACGAACTTTAAAACGAAAATATTGGCCATAATTTGTTGAAGTTACGCCGTACCCTGAAGTTATATATCGTCGCGCCGCGTCCTGTTCGATATGAGACTCATAGTGACGTACACAACGCGTGTAAAATACCAAAACTATACAAATCGGCAATACACCATTCGTATCCTATAATGACGTAGCTCTTCTGTAATATCAAAATGACGTATATAGTTGACAGACTGTCGTTCAAATCGACACATGTACAGTAGAGTAGCTGTGTAGCAGTTTTTCTTCTAAGAATATAGTCAAATCTCTCAAAACCATAATATTTACTGATGGACAGCTACTACAGATTAAAATGATATCGACGCTTTGAACGACCATAGTTTCACTCATTTACGTCCATATATTTCTTTTGTATTTGTAGTGTAGTGTAGTGGCATTATATTCCGCTTAGCATAGGCGCATAGGCATAGGCGCTTTGCCGCTAGAGGGCGCGACATCCTCGGGCGGACATCCGGGCATTTTCAGTGCCTGGCAACCATCGAGGTGAAAACAAAGGCCAAAAATCGCAGAAATCGGTACTTTGGGATGGTTGTTGAAACTCCCCTAAACAGTGTAACAAGGTTAGCCCTGCATGTGTAACATATATAAATTTGGTTGTTCAGGATTACTTCAAAATTGCAGCGCGCACAGGAATGTATGGTACAGTGGTGCGCGTCTTAGCAACGTGGAACGTCTTGTGACGTAGCTTCGCCCCCGAGGATAACTGTGAAATAACAATGTGGGTACAAAAAACTATATAAGCCGTCATTATATAACATAATTGCAAACTTTTGGGCGCAAGCATACTATACGTCATGTTATTTTACATAATATCACTGAATGTTGCTAACTGTTCAAGTGAGCGTCCTAATTTATGATACGTTTGTTTGTTTGTTCTTTCGCTTGTCCGTCCATTCGTTCGTTTGTTTGCTCATTCCTTCAATTGGCAGCGCGTTGATTTCCCAATCTGTCTGGTAATTCACTTATGTAGTTACGCATACGAGCAGTTGAAACATGAGTCGTATTCGTTTGATTCTAAGCTGGAAAATAAAATAACAAATTTGCAGCAGTATCCCCATTAATGTTATTGAGGCTGATGAATCCAGTAACTAGCCGGGGTTGGATAATTTATCCATTTTCTGCATTGTCATACGAGTGTTATAATTGTCACTTTAATAGCTATCACCTCCCTATAACAATATACTCATATACAATATATTTACACCACATATCATTGTCGTCGTTCCAATTAGTGTGTTTGACTGTGGAAAGTATGTACAGGTATAAGCGTTAATTGGTACACTTATCTGCTAAACACATGCATAAATATATTTATACTTACTAGCGATGCAATTATAATTAGTATTCTATAATTTTTAAAGCGGGGGAGTCGTCACCTGCGCATGAGTTAGGTGGCCATAGCGTGTCATTGTTTACAAACAAGCGTCTACCTATGACCCTTTGCGCTATTAGCGTGTTTTTTTATCGTCCCTTGGAACTCAATTCCCGCGCGTGCGCAGGTGACGACCCTCCCGCTTTAACTAATTAGCTTCTTGATAACGTCACTATCATTTGTTATAGTGATATTGCGTGAATGAAGGTGTGGTGTTTAGCGGAACCCTTGTTAACGGGGTGATCGCACGATTACATTCATTAGTAACCAATAAAAGAAGGAAGCGCTACGTGTGAACACTTCGTCAACACCTTTTTACTATAAGAAGTATTCCATAAAAATCATATAAATATATCCTCATTTCAGCGACAGGCTAACACACACCAGTTTCCCTTCACGGAAATTGGAAACTTCATCCACAAAACGAAGAACTGTATTGAGACTACGGTTCATGTTTAGTCCTGGGCGACTATAGTACCTAGTGGTGATCTGCCTGTCCAGGTAGACTGACTTGCCAAGCCGGGAACAAAGACGACGGTAGGTGGGTCAATATATCCAACCACAGATTTGGGTTGATCGTATAGTCTACCAAAACTGAGAATCTAACCGGACCCAAGAACGAAGATGCATATGTCGAACACAGCACATCACAATTTGGATGACAACCAAGTCGGCACGACTACGGTGGATGGCATCGACATATTTGGCCGTGAAAGTGCTTATTTCAACGATCCGTTCTATATCATACCAATATTTATCATCATTGTCACAGTAACAATCATTTGCGGCAATAGTTTAGTCTTAGCTGTCATGCTCTTTGGAAAATCACTGTCTAACACCAGTGGGCGATTCATGGCGTCGCTGGCGTGCGCAGATCTTGGCATCGGCGTTCTTGTTACGCCTTTCTCCATCTACCCCTCCGTTATCAACGACTGGCCATATGGGCAAGATTTATGTATTATGGCTTCGTTTTTTACCGAACTATTTTCGTGTATCTCTGTGAGTTCACTGGCACTTATAGGAGTTGATCGCTACCTTTCCATTGCCAAACCTTTACGATACCACGCTTTGATGACACCGGAGAAGGCACGCAATATCATAATCATCAAATGGATCGTGGGCATCTGTCTCTGTAGCGCCACTCCTTTAAAACTTGTCAAGACTATATACTACGCTGATATAATGGTCTGTAACGTTTCCTGGGAATCTGAATTAGTATATTCGTACGTCATGATTGGCATCGTTGTTGTGCCTGCATTTAGTGTCATAACGTTCACGTATTATCATATATTTCGTGTCGCTTATAAAGCCGCCCGACAAACAGACATTGAAGAACAAAGATTTCATGGAGCCCATTCTACAACTAATAGGAGGAAGAACGCCATGAAATCCTTTCTAGTAGTGCTAGGTTTCTCCGTATGCTGGAGTCCATGGTTAGCACTACAAATTCAAGAAAGTTCTGTCTTTGCATCAAACAACGGAGGAGAACAGGAAGACGGGGAGCACCCACATTACCCGCAGGCACATTTTTTCTCTATGTGGTTGGCTTTCTCAAACAGCTTTCTCAACTTCATTATCTATAGCTTGTCTAATAGAGCATTTCGCGCTGATATCAGAAAAGTATATCGAAAAGTTCTCCGATTCTGCGGTTCGGGATATGATGCTGACAACGACTGGCAGACAAGCGAAACTGCCCCCACGCACAATATCTCAGTCGAATGACACTTGAGCCGTCCCCGGAACCAGTTGGGCATTTCCCATCTTCATGACCCGAAACCTTTATGGCCGAGTGCCGGGAAAATTATGAGAACACAGTAGTATGGACTATTTCAGTATAATTATAATAATAACCCCTCTTTCCCGTCTATAAACTATTGGCGAGACAGTTTCTTAAGATTTTGTCATGTCATTTTCATATATTCGAACTACATACTATTGCATTACGTGAAATACACATTAATCCTGCTGAAACAAAATACAACGCATTGCAGTACTGAAGCAACTTTTTCAAAAACTTGTATGTCTACTAGAATGTGCCACTGATTTTAAACTTCGTGTGTCATGGGTTCAAACAATACAAATAGGTGATTTTCCGTACAATTGCGAGATCTCGCGAGATGCATGAAAGACGCGCGTCGAACGTCTGCCGCAAAAATCGAACGATTTGATTTTGAACTAGAATTTCTTTATTTCGTAGCTTACATTTACCGGCCAATCTTCGACAGAGGAATATTGCTTCCGAATACCCTTACTTAATCGAAATTGCCTATCATCAAATGTGGACAGCACATTATTAAGCATGGAAATGTCCCCGAAATACTTTCGCGTTTGTCGAATCCCACGCGATGTTTGACGCGACTACGACGCTATGACCTTTGTTTGTCCTGTTTTTACGTTCGATTTCACGCATAACGCGTGATTCTCGCAGTGAACGGAAAATGGTCTATTAAAGGAGTATGTTTATGAGTCAGATACCATTGCATTTGTGATGTTCAATTTCAAACAAACAATTATTAATGCATTCCAATTATCCACATGAGAATTAATGACAATGACAGTTTTATTGAATGAATGGATCCCATACACATGCTCTAGTAAGTAAATAATGAATTTTGATATCACGGGCGAACTGTTCTCATTTGCGTTGAAAGCAAGAACGCAAAACACAGTTGTCGTACCTATTATAAAATCTTCCCTTCATTAGTCGCAACGTGCTCTGTGTATAATACTTTATATAGATGTAGGTAGCACGTGATTATTCATGATTATGTCGAGTAAAATACACCGTTGTGGATACTTCTTGTTTGAAGATACATTATGAACGAACACGCGTATTTGTTGTTGATATTGTTCTTTGATATGGCATATTAAAGACCAAAATGGAGTATAATTTATGTGTACTGGAAATGATGGTTTTGTTGCACATTGTATGGCATTAGTTCATTGTATTGAACAATTCAATTGATTTATCGAACGAATACTTAGTTGTCTACTGCATAAATACGTTCATGATAGATCACCGTGCAATATCTTCCTCAAAGTATAGCCTCATAAAATACAGTTCTCGTCCATCTTCGAAACTTACTTTCTCTTTTTTCTCAAGATAGTGTATCCATGCTCTAATCATGTTCAAGTTGTAAGAGTTCTAATGGTGTCTGAGAATATCACAATTGAAAAAAAAGGAAAACATGAATGCTTTTCGATATATTTCATATTTCTTATTTGCTATTTCATAAGGAACAAGGTGTACTACGGTTGCTAGGATACCAGGACTACCTTTATATAGTTTTTTTCTAATCACAACGTTAACATTACTATATTAAAATTCGATGCTGTAATTATTGGCATATTTATTTCTTTGAACTCAATGCTTCAAAACCGCCCAACTTAAAATACATTCAACATCCCTTTTCCGACTGTTTTGACAAATTAAGGCCAGACTTTTTTTATTCCTTGTTTCTCGAGTTTTTGTAAGGCAATTTTTTTGAGGAGGGCGGAAAAAAAATAAAATTAATTCTTTTTTTCCATTAGATTTGTGTGATTCTCAATAAATTGTAAGTGAGAACATTGATCGGAGAGAAGAAATGAAATACAATTTTATTCCATGTATAACCTTGTTTCTCATCTGCGCGAGACTTTGGTACTTTGATCATGATACTCCTACGAAAATGCAACTTGGATTTGTTATGCGGCGGACGGTAAAAAAATGAAGATAAAAATAATATTTTTTTAGCAATTTTTTGCGCTTACAAGTCGGCGGGCGCGAGAAATTACGCTGAAATAAAATTTTATTTTTATTTCACTTTCGGCTCTTGTTCATTCGGCGGGTTCGCGAAACAAGGGATAATACAAGTCTGGCCTAATAGTTGAAACAATTAACAATTAGTAAAATGTATGCATCAAAATATCCAATTCTCGGTATGTATCAAAATTATGCCCTACGCGTATCTCAACGATAATCTTAAATTAAATTGTTAGGTCAAAATCGAAGCGATTTATTTGCACTTTACTTTATTTAGATTGATTTCATTAACTCAGTGTTTTACGGTATAGAATGTCACTGTGTTACAGTAAGCTTCCCACATCATTGAAAAAAACACACTCTCAATTGTTCACCCTTTCATTGTTTAACTGTTTGAATGTTGAATCTACTATTTAAAAAAAAAAGAGTTCTTAAGTTTACAAACAACTCGTATATGTACATTTCGTGGATGTTACAACAGCATTGATTTGTATATTTCATCATGTGATGTATTGTTACTATACTACTTATTTGCATCATAGACCTTAGAAAACAAGGTCTATGTTTGCATATAATATATTTACGATTGTAATAAGTGTTTTCATATGTATGTGGAAACTTAAGTTTGAATAAGAACGGCGACCACTTGACCACTGCTGGAGATGGTTACGTCATTATTCGATCATATTTGAATGATTTATCACAATACTCCCCGTTTCCACGTGAAACTTCAATCATGTTTTTATATTGTTAGGCTTGTACATTTAGTTTTGTATATCTTTGATAGCACCGGTTTTACGTACCGAGTGTTTTAATAATAATAATAATAATAATAATAATAATAATAATAATAATAATAATAATAATAATAATAATAATAATAGTGTTCATAATGTGAGTATCTACCAAATCGTCATAATGGGTTAACAATTTACGATGTTTTCTTTTTTCTGTAAGCGTTGCTGATAAAGCATCTATGTTTGACATTTGATCTGTAATAAAGTCATCGATGTATGTGTTAATGTGTTTAGTATCTTATTGTAAATAGACACAACCATGGTTTCTTCAGTTCCCATTCGTACTTGGTTCGTAAATGCCTTCGACTTTATCTCGAACATGTCATGTGAACGGGTAAGGTTTACTAGTAATTTTCACAGCGGTAAACCTGTGCTAAATTGCATTGTTCGAGCTGCAAAAATCGGGGTACCAAAACTTTGCCAAATTATAATTAACAGCACTGAAATTCGAGTTAATCGAACTAACTCATCAGAATGACGCGCTGCCAATTATAGATGTTATCATAAATAATCTCTATCATAATAAAAGGTTTTATGACGTCATAGCTTTACATTATCACATGATAACGTAAACCACTATTCGGAAGTAAAATTCTTTTTATTCTAAATTATTTCTGATAGTTGTGAATTATATCAACAATAACAAATCGTCCACAACATCATATTTGATTCGAAGAAGGGTCCAATATGCGTCGCCTCACATATTATCATTCCATAAACCCTCATCTATTGTGGCGCTGTCACGGTGAGGGGGGGATTCATTATTGGTAACATACTAGGGCAAAAACGGATACGTGAGCAATAATAGGCGGTACAAATACAGTTGAGCCCATTATTTAAGGGAACATCCCATCCGGGTCCTGGTGTCATGCAATAATGAGTAGTGCGGAGTCTTTTATTTCAATTATAATATATTCATTGGTGGCTCGCAAAGAAAGATATGAATAGAAGGGATAGCGTGTCGTGAACGCTTGCATTACATTAATCCATATAATTTCACGAGCAAACGACAACACGCAAATACATGAATTTCCAGATTGTCTTAACCCGAACGAATAATGGCGGGTTTGTTGTTTAAACGATTCATACAAATTTGGAAAAAAAACATTGAATATTCAGAATTTGAGGTTGAAGATATTTGTTCACATTTCTGCAGAATTGTTGTGGGAGTGAGGAGAAACACCCACTATAATGGGCATATACGTAAAGTTAGAGGACCTCCCAAAAACAGCTCATCAATTATCAGTAAAATCAAGTATATTAGAGTGATCTAATCTTACGGAATAAATAATAGTATATAGTTAATTGTTATAAGGAGCATGGAGGTGAAAATAGATATATATTTTGACCTAAATAGATATTTTTACCTCCATGTAAGAAGTCAATTAGTGAGACATCATTGAAATGTTGAGCATAAAAAAATCATATAAAATTAAAAGAAAAAATTATTCACCCTTAAAATTGAATGATAATAAAAATAAACTGAGAACATACAGAAAATTTGAAATGTTGTTTAAAGTAAACCACAATAATCCTTTGCACCCGGCAGAATAAAATCGAATGACAAACATGTATTTCTTTTTCAGTCGATCTTCTGTAACCAAGCAATATAAAATACGATTTTCATTCAGTATCCCAGAAATTTACGCAATTGAATAGCAATTCTAAGAGGGTCACTGATTATACAAAACTTGTTTTCAATATCCGAACATTACCATAGTCAGGAAACCAGAAAATACTTCGGGTGAACATTGTGTCCGCTTTTAAATGTCCGTGCATTCAAAATTCAAAAGCCATCTCTGACGCTGTTGTCACATTGACCTGTAAATATAGCCACAAAGAGTCGTGAATTAAATTTCGATTGGAAAACCAGATTTGCGCTCTCATATGTGTTTTTTATTGTTGATATATGTATTTCATTTCGGTTGTAACTTTATGAAAAAGTCGACAAAACATTGCATAATTTGCAAATAAAAAATAAGTCACATCATAATCGACACATGGATTACTGGAGTTTTGCTTAAAATTCAAAAACGTGATATCTGTTTAAATGTGACCGTGAACCTCCCTCCTAATCGAAATCTCAATGCAAGTCATTTTTTAAAAATGCAAATCAAAATTTAAATCTCAATGCAAATAACATTTTAAATGCAAATTCAAGTCAATATCAATGTGAGTTAAATTTCAAAAAAAAATTAAAATCCCAATTCAAACCAAAATTATGATTGAAATTGTAAATGCAAATTTAAGTAAATATCTCAATCAAAGTCGCCATCTAGTAATACAAATGACATTTCAAAATATTGTTCTCATAAAATCTCAATTAAATTAATAATAATTAGCTATTCCATAGACCTGATACGGTCGTTTTCGAGTTTCCTAAGTGTACATCTTGGGCATGGACCAACTTGATGTTTGCAATTTGCGTTGATCATACCTGACCCGACCTTAACCCTAATACCATGACACGTTCCGGTTGATACTGCCCTGTTGCAATGAGATAATTTTGTTTTACCTCGATGGCACGTTTGTGTACCACGCCACGACGTTGGCTGTTGAGGGACTGTGACCGAACAAACGACTCCGATTGGAGGTCATGTGTTTTGAGAAGTCACCAAATTCGCGTGTTTGCACGGCTTCTGGAACTGTGCCCTTGCCATTACGGATCGTAACCTTTGGAGTTACGCACATCACGTGTGAGCACACACCGGAAGTTGTATCTCATCAGGTGTTAAGCTAAAGATTGAGGTCCATAAATCGAGTGGCTCGTGGCTCGTGGTCTGTCTCAGAGCTGTAAAAGTACGTATGTTAGCCCAGTTATAGAATGCATTGTCCAGGTTGTAGATTATTGCTATACGAAGAGAAATCCTTCATTGCGTTTTTTTGCAATTATGCGAACTTTGAGTAGATGACCTAGATGCTCTTGCTGTCATTATATCGGCTGATTATGTCCAGTGCGACCATTCACGCTCTGTCATTTGGAATGCCCAGTACACATAGCATCCACATTGACAACCGAGTGGGCCTTCCCGTGCTGCTGTGGCCATGTGGGTGTTACCACCGAGACTGAAAACAATATGACGCAATTGTATATACATCAAACTACCTGGTGAATGCTACTATAATTGACCAATGACATGGGTGAGATACCCACGAATAGAATTACTAGTAAATAGTGCTAATCTGCGAAACGCGCATAATTTTCAATTCTATAGTTGCATGATTTAAAATAAGTGTATTTGTTCACAGTGTACCCGTTTCCCCCTGTTTTACAGATGTTACAACACGTGTTGAAATCCAGCCTCTTCTTCTTCTCTGCCATCCTGTATATTTCATTACCAGACAAGACGCCAACATTAGAATTAGCTATACTGAAACTGTTGCCAATTATATCACTGGTAATATTCGCCGTTTTACACGTAGCAACACACGGAACGTCAAGGTTTACCGTTGGTGTTATTATCGGACTCATCTTCTCCGGCATCGGTGATTATTTTTTGGTCTACAAAGAAACACACTTTGTGTATGGTGTGTTCGGCTTCGCTGTGGCTCAGCTGGTGTATGGCATTACATTCGGATGCAAGCCTTTCAAGCCAGCAGTTCTCTTATTGTGCGTTATCGCTGGGTCCATCATGTATAAATACATCTACCCTGGTTTATCTTCTAAGTTTGTTCCTATTATTGCTGCTTACGTTGTCCTTATCTATTTCATGGCGTGGAGGGCGCTAGCAAGGTTCCAACTAAAGCGATGGACGTGGGGGCAAATGTTCTGTGCACTCGGCGCGGTTTCGTTCATCATTTCCGATTTTGTAATCGCGGTTGACAAATTTCGTCACGAAATCCCCCATCGCCACCTCATTGTCGTTGTGACTTATTTCATCGCACAGTATGGAATCACCATGGCAATCACTGATTATCCTAGCAAGCCTCGTACAAAGAAAAAAATGAAGTAATCTTAACAATTGTTGGTTGAATACAGTATGGTGACGACAATGTTTATAAACAGTTAACACATTACGTAGTAACGATCGAAGATATATATATTAAATTCGCTACGATTTGAGTGATTACTAGTAAATTATGTGTGTATCAATTGACTAAAAATAAAGTGCATTGTGCAATTTCTTCAGTGACAGTTTGTAACTTAGAAAACGTTAAGGAATTCAATGTCTGGATATATATTAACTCGAGAAATTTCGTGAACATGAGGAAGTTCAGTGTTCTCTAATGTCAGTTTGTTGTTTAGTGGTTTTATTTGATTTGAAATTCCTCACATTTAGCGGGAAGCGGCATATGTTGATGGTAGAATATATGTTATGGATTACGTTTCCGGGCATTGTATTTGCATGGAAGGTACTAACATGGAAGGTACTAACATTCCATAGTATATGCGACGTGTGAATCACAAAGCCAGGTTCAATCGTACAAATATGTTAGCTAACTTTATGACAGACCCAGAATAAATTACACTGACCACAGTCCATCACGTCTGCATTCGCCATGGCAGTAATCATATTGTGCATCACGCTTAGTGAATATCCAACTTCCCACGGTAAAAGACACGAAAATGTTGGACTGTTAGTTAGAGGGCAGTGGTCGTCGCGCCACGCAGGCGTGAAATACGAATCTCGTATAAACAAATATTGAGACTTTGAATGTTGATGACCGATCAACGAGTACAAACTGACGTTACCAAGCTTTTATTAGGTATTTTTAGGTGATTGGAAGGTATCGAAGGTGTCAGCCGGCGGTAATTATCGGCAAGTCGCGCCCGGGTCAAACTCATACTTGTCATTTCCATTAGAAAAGCGCATTGAATTATGGGAAATCATCGTTTATCAACACAAATGTTGCACATGCGCGGCGCGACGACCACCGCCCTTTAACAATCCTTTCTCTTCCCCTGTAGTCAGACGCACCGTGCATGGAGTGGCACAATATACTTATGCTGTGCCAACCATGGATATACATATCAATCTTTATTTTTTTTTTAATTGTATTTGCAAGGTTAATCAAGCAGTACGCACAATCTAACACTATTTCAGTATTGGCGTGCCCGTTGATGATCATCCTCGGTCGCCGTATTAGCGGCTACAGCCGTAGCTTGTAATCTAACCTTCTCTAAAGCAAGGGGGTTCACGAGAAGCACATATCTATAGTTATCCGAATGTAGGATATCCTTTATTTATATGTAATTTCGTAAATAAAATCAATCAATAAGGAACTCGTTTGAAATGTCATCGGTTTCACACAAAAATGTCTAATGATGCCATTTTTTCTCTAATGGCATTAATCCATAATAATGAAGTCATCGAAAATCTGACATAATTTTCAATTCAGCTCGAACCTCCTTAAAGGGCGACAGTCGTCGCGCTGCGAGTGTGCGACATTAGTGTTGATAAACATTGATTCCCCATAATTCAATGCGCTCTTCTAATGGAAATCACAAGTATGAGGTTTGACATGGGCGCGACTTGCCCTAATTACCGCCGCTGACACCTTCGA